TTAGGAAAAAATTCTTTACTGAAAGAGTGGTCAAGCATTGGGACAGGCTGTCCAGAGAGGTGGTGGAATCACCGTCATGGAGGTGTTCAAAAAACTGTAGACGTGGCATTTGGGACATGGTTTAGTGGGCATGGCGGTGTTGGGTTGATAGTTGGACTGATGATCTTAGAGGTCTTTTCCAACCTTAATGATTCTATTCTATTCTATATCTACAAATACACACACACACAAGATATTAAGCAAGCTTAAGACTTACTGATAAAGAGGAGGTATGAAGAAACAATGCATAAGCAGATCTGTGAAGAATGTATTTAAATCAATTATTGTCCAATCTTTTTAGCCTTTTATTAGCTATGTTACGGTACTTGGCAGATAGTGATTTTCTACTGTATTTGGCTCCCCAGTACCGCCAGTCATTGGTGACTCCACAGACTAAACCTCCTGCAGTCAGTAAGTCTGGAAAGATGGCAGATTTCGGTTGTACCTGCCCCTTCTCTATGTGTGAGGAGGGAACGACAAGAGGCAATTGTGTCGCGTGAGATGGGAGTGTGCACTGAACTCTGAACTTTTCTGCCTGTGGTTTAGTGGGATGGGGGATAACTGTAACACCCCCTCAGGCCCCCTTTCTCCCACCAGTACCTTTCTGCAGATGAATGATCTAACTTCTCTTTATTGTTTGGGGTTTGTTTGTTTTGGTGGTTTTTTTTTTTAAACTGTGCTCCTGCAGATTGGCCGTCTGGAGGGCTGCTCTAGAGTGGTGGGGATTGCTGGCACAGATGAAAAATGCTCCATTTTGGTCCAAGAAATGGGGTTTGATGCTGCTATCAATTACAAGAAGGGGAATGTGGCGGAGCAGCTACGTGAACTCTGCCCAGGCGGTGTGGATGTTTACTTTGACAATGTTGGTGGAGACATCAGTGATACAGTAATAAGTCAGGTGATTATACAGCTGTTGGGTTTATTCTAGTCATTCTCCAATGTCTGCGTGTCCAGCTTTGAATTAATTCATACCAGAGAGCAGCCTGCAATACAGCAGAGCAGGCTTTCCACTTCATTGATCCAATCCAGGTGCTGATCCTGGTTCTGAGGAGAAATCAGATATTTGAAATCAGTGTCTGTCATTTCGACTAGCCTGGCAGTATAGTAATAGAAACACAATTTCTGCTTCTCAGTTCTTTGGCCAGGAGACTTGGTAATATTCTAAAAACCTTGTCTGTCAGTGTAGTAATCTTGTGTTTTGTCAGCTTTGGTTTTCTGGCTTCACAAAAGACCAGCTCTGCTGGGCCTCAGTAAAGACTCTTGGCCAGTCCTCTTCATTGTTCATGTGAAACTACTCTGTCTCATGGCAGGGGGGCTTTGGTGGCAATGCCATCTTCGGGAGCTCTAAATCACAGCTGTATACAACAGCTGTATCCAACCCCTTTATCCTGTTACCCTTCTCCTGACAAGAAGGGCACACACTAAGATAACAATTTCTTATATTCCTTGTATTTAATGCCTTTTTAAATTGCACATAGGCTGTATAGCATTTATTTTCCCACTATTGCCCTGCATTTATCTATTTGAATGTTGTCATAGGTTGAACGGGACTGTCTGCAATTCTCCCACTGTTTTCTAAGAAATGTGGCTCTAAGTGAGGATACCCATGTGAAAATTTTGCAATATAATCTATTGCATCTCTGGAAAACTTAGTTTCTGAGACCGAGGAATGTAATTTTTCTCACTTTGTGCTGTCCCAAACAGATGAATCGGAACAGCCATATCATCCTGTGTGGACAGATTTCCCAGTATAACAAAGATGTGCCTTATCCTCCTCTGCTGCCTCCTGACATAGAAAAAATACGGAAAGAAAAGAATATCACAAGGTACGTTTCTCCTCCAGAACTTGTGACCAGGTTCCAGGTAGATTGTGCATGTGATGTTGTGACTCTGATATTTGGAAGGTAGTCTGTAGATCTGCAATAGGCACGTGTAATTGGAACAGAACTTTGCCGTACTAAAAAAGGAAACTATAATCACAACGTCAGTAAATCCTTTCTCTTACATTTGTCTCTATCAGCATAAAAATGGGAAAGGATGTTGTTACATGTTAACATAGTTGTCTGTTGTTATGCTTTGTTTGTGGTTGCTTGATTTGATTTAGTCCTGGAGCCTCTGACAGATTCTTCAGTACAAGGGAAGGTGTTGCCATGGTTCTGTTCTCAGATGTTTTGCAGAGTACTTTCTCTCCAAGTGTAGTAGTTCAGGCAGAGCGAAAATCAAATATTTTTAAAGTAAGGATGCAGCTGATGCAGTGATTGCATTTTTAGTATTTGGGGTTTTATTAGATAAAGTGACTGTGGGTGTGATGTATATATACAGGTAAAACATTGATTTTTGTTATGACTCTGGGAATTGCTAAATCTGTCAGGATTCAGGTGGATCTAAGGCAGAGATTAGGAGCAAAGTCTTAGGAGATTTTTCATTCATTGCATTGCAGAAAGTTGGGGAGACTTTTGATTTCTGTGCAGACAGATTGACCTCTTCTAATTAACATTCTTTTCTTGTCCCTGATACTGTTGTCTGCACTTTAAAAAAATGTATAAAAATACTAAAATACACCATACGTAGTAGAAGGCAGTGGAGAATTTAGTCAGTACATTGCTACAAGTAATCATCATTTTTGATGATCATTTCAGTTTCTCTTGATTGCTATAGGTGGCTGTGAGAGCAGGATATGCAATATTTTGTGGAGCCTGAAAGTTAATTTATACTCGCCATCTGGTTGCAGGTCCATTAATTATTCTCCCTACCACAAAAAAAAAGTAAAAAAGAATAGGAATTCACTCACGTTTTATGGACATTTGCTTATTCTGGTGATACTAGTTGATTTTTACTACTCTTCTGATACTTGGACAGAATTGCTTGTCTAAGAGCTATGTTACTGTCAAGCTCCCACGGCAGGGAGCTGTCTCACCAAGCTGGCAAAGCTCTGAGTTGTGTCTCTTTGTAAAGAGTACTCATAATCCTTCAGTTTCAATGATGCTGTTTCCTGAAAAGATTTGTAAAGATTTCAAAATACGCTTACCAACCTTTCTTAAACCAAGGCTCATTCTTGTCTTTCACAGGGAAAGATTCTTAGTGTTGAACTATATGGACAAACAAGAAGCTAGTGTATTACAACTCTGTCAGTGGATCCAAGAGGGTAAACTGAAGGTAGGAACTTTTACATGTAATCTATGGCCTCTGATACTACCTCCTCAGATCATGGTCTGAGGAAGACCACTACAAGAAGTCCGATTTCTTTGTCCTTGGCTCTCTTACCATGCCTCAGAATTGAACAGATTTTCTTACAAATGTTTAAGTATATTTGAAAGCTTATTAGGTAGCACTGTTTTAGTAGATAACCTGCTGAGGATGATGTGACTGTAGTACGACAGACTTTTCTAATTACATGCTGCTAATGTCTGTATTTCTTTCAGTATAGAGTGCAAGTGCTTTTTTACCTAAGGGGTCAGACCTTCAAAAATACTTATTTTTAAATTCCTGGTTAGTTAGTGTCCTGAATGCTTTTGGGGATCTTGTCTGAAATTTTGTTTCAAGCTTTATAATCACCGTTTATTATTTTGTGATGGTTAGATGCTTTATCCATCCCTTCCCTCTGAGGTCTGTCTAAATTAGTTTTCGATTCTTCAGGTGTTTTACTCCTGGGAAAATCCCGAGATGTGAAATTTTGGCAGGGGCAGGGATGTTCCAATTCTGATTGAAGCATTAAATTGCCTACAGGTTTATCAGAAAGTATTCACTCCTCTCTTGATGAAAGAATCTGGCCCAAACAGAGCACTGTCCATTGTAGCAAGAGAATCCCTTAGATTTTGGTAGTTTCTGTGGCAGTTTCATGGCATGTTTCTAAGAAATGTTAATCTTGTTTGAAGAAAGCTGAAAGGACTTGTTTGCATTGACAGGTCAGAGAGACTGTGGTAGAAGGCTTAGCAAACATTGGTGGTAAGATTTTTACACCATTTTCTAAGAATAATAATATGATTAAATACAATGACAGTAGAGGTTAACTGTTTGCACTTGTCCTTTGTCATTTGCCAATTCAGATTTTTGTGTTTTATCTAAAACATGATTTTTATGTTATAATAAAAAATATATTTTTCACAAGGTATTAAAAAGTTCTGTGAGAAGATTATTTTATGTTATAAAAACCTATTGAATATAAATTTTGAGATTTTATTTTTGTTTTACTTTTGGGGTGGGAATGAATTGTTAAACTGCTACCATAGCAGCTGATGATAGTCACCCTGATTTAAAGTGTTGCCCATTTCTTAGAACTTGTGTGTAAGAAAATGGTATTTTGGAAACCTTGAACTTATGCTTTAAAAACTCCAATCTTCTTCTTCTTCTTCTGTTAGCAGTGCTTGTTATTGGATTTGCTAACAAAATATAAATTGAAAAACAAACACAAGAAAGGGGAAAGCATATTAGAGATTGCTAAACAAAGTAAAAAATAATTTCTTTTAAAGGAACAAAACGGCCTGTAGCCATTCAAAAATCTTAACAAAGAAAATATAAAAATGAAGGGGCCTTGTGGCTCCAGTGAGACAAAGCTAGAGAGCCAGGTGATTCAAGATGTGCCATAAGAATGCTTTCCTTTCAAGTAAAAGGGAAGAGTATGATTTAGTCCATTTAGTCTTTAGTCCCACAAAATTGGAAACCAGTCGAATTAAGTGATAACCAAATCTTATAGATTTCAATTTATTCTAGTTGTTGCTACTTACTGGTATACATATGTATTTTGAAGGAATTTGATCAAATATTTTGCACCAGCTTCTGACATTTATTACACTACATTGAGTATTTATAAACCTTTTTCCTTTCATGAAGGTTTGTGAAACCCACAGCATTTGTGGACTTTCCCATCACACTTTGTCTTTCTGTTTGGTATTTGTATGGCATATCACAAAAGCAGCAAATGTAATTGTTAACTTATATAGGGCTAAACAGTTACTTACAAATCAGGTTTTTTAATTATTACACAAAACTGCCCTTAGCAGTTTATTACAGACTAGCTTTCCCCCCCCCCCTTCTTAATTTGGGGAGCTGTTTAACACATTTGCTTCTACCATTTTTTTTTTTTAATTCTTTGAAAGATACTTGGCACATTTTGCTTGGCACTAACTTACTTCATCATTTCTCTTGAAGCCGCTTTCCAGTCCATGATGAATGGAGGCAATATTGGAAAACAGATCGTTTCAGTTTCTAAGTAAATGTTATTGCTTCGGGAAAAATAATTGTATTCTATCTCTAACAATGAGCAAGTTTTTACTTATACTAATTTCCATTTTCTTAAATAAACCATCAAGTTGTTCTGTCTGTACTGAAAGCAGAGGTTGTGGGATGCTAAGGCAGAACCTATGCTAATAAACTAAATAGAACTGGAAACAGGAATGCAGTCATTTATACTAGAAACGAGTAACAAGTTCTTTGACATGATTTTGACAGTTGCCAGCTAGCACACTTGCAAGTATTTAATGGGTATGGTTTGGAAGTTAGAACATCCTCGGAACCATTTCCAATAAGGAATTTGTATGCAGCCACCTAGTTTTGGTCGTTGGTAGAATTTACTAGTGTAGGTGTGCACCATTCCCATGCTAGTTTGTCCCAGTGCCCAGGAACTTCCCTGGGAATTTTTAATTTACTAGCGTAAATTTACCCTGACAGTCCAATCAGTCTGGCTAATCATTTTAGAATGTAACTGTTCTCATTTTTACAGATAATTGCAATGAAAATTCCATTTCTGGAATTCAAGGTCTCTAATAACAAAGGTATTTCCATTTTGCCATCTGGAACAAATTTCCACTGATCTGTCTTGTGCAGTTCTCTGTATTGCATCATTATATCCCCTACTTTCAGAGCACTTGAAACCTAATTAATTTACAATTCCATCTGTATGCAACCTGAGACTTTCATCAGAGGTAGGTTCAGGTGTAGGGTGAGCCTCCTGCTTAACTGTTCATTTATTTACTCTTCTCAACTTTTGCATTCAAGACTTAAGTGAAGTTTTCTTTTTAGAATTCCTTTTCTAAAATCTACTGTATCTTATTTTTATGATAATCTCCCTGATTTCACTAGTTTTTCTGTTTTTTACACCTCCCCAGGGTGACAGACAGAGGATCTCAAAACATGCTGCCTGATGACAGAAGGTAACTTTGCAGACAATTGACCTTCTGTTCCCTCAGTAACTTATCTTGGCTCAGAATTTTTGGTCTAACAATGCTCTTTTACCATCTCAATGGGGAAACTTGAAAAAATGAGTCACCATTTCCAAGTTTGACTAGCATAACCCCAAGCCAAATGAGACTCATGAGATTAAGTATGTGTCTTCAAAAGCAAGGAACAGAAAAGAGAACAGATAATTATCTTAAAGACATTAGAATTCCCCTACTATGTACATTTAGAGATATTAACACATATTTATTTAGAGAATAGGATTGTTCCTGTGGTGGTTTAGCCCCAGCCAGCAACTAAGCACCACGCAGCCGCTCCCTCACTCCCCCTACCCTGATGGGATGGGGGAGAGAATCGGAGGGGTAAGAGTGAGAAAAACTCCTGGGTTGAGATAAGAACAGCTTAATAATTGAAATAAAGTAAAACAGTAATAATAATAACAATACAATAATGATAATAATAATGATATACAAAACCAACAAGGAATTCCCCCCCCGCCGGCCGACCGATACCCAGACAGTTCCCAAGCAGCGATCGCTGCTCCCCGGCCAACCCCCCCAGTTTATATACTGAGCATGACATCACATGGTATGGAATAGCCTTTTGGGCAGTTTGCATCAACTATTCTGGCTGTGCCCCCTCCCAGTTTCTTGTGCACCTGGCAGAGCATGGGAAGCTGAAAAAGTCCTTGCCTAGCATAAGCAGTACTTAGCAACAACTAAAACATCAGTGTGTTATCAACATTCTTCTCATCCTAAATCCAAAACACAGCACTATGCCTGCTACTAGGAAGAAAATTAACTCTATCCCAGCCGAAACCAGGACATCATGACACATTCTGATTTACAGGTGATTGGTTTTGGTTTTAATTTGTTTGCCTTTAAGAGAAGTGCTCCCAAACAGCAGGATCAGCTGAGCTGTCCAGAGAATGGATTACCTAGATCTGTGTGAGTCACTATCTAGGTTCAAACTAAATGGAATCCAAGAACTAGGAAAGAAACGCTAGGCAAGAAATTTGGTGTTATAAATCATTTTGCATGCTGTGGAAAGTAAGACAACGGGTATCAAAATTGCCTAATATGGTTGTGAGCAATATGAAAAACAGTCCTTACATTTCCTAGGGCTGAAGCTAGCCCTGAAAGGAAGCATGCAGTGACAGATGCCATGAACTTTGAGGAAGAGAAAGACACCTGCAGTATAGCATTAAATGGTCTAAAATCTTCCAGTATGCGTTTTTCAACTACAGAACTAGTGACTGGCTCACTTTCAGCTAGATTGTGAATCCAACATCAGCACAACTAACTCAAGCAGCATTAATAACAGTGTCACACTGAGATAGAAGCCAAAATTTTTATGCAGTAAAATCAGTATGATCATCATTGGCAAATGAAGACAGAAGGCAAGAGGTGAGTGAAATTCATAGAATTCCTGTATATTGACTGTTTATAGATGGTAACTCACTTGTGAAAATTAAGCAATGCAGGCTTGTAAGACTTGATTATGTCTATAATATGTCTATTAAAATGAGAGGCAGGATACAGTGATCCTCAGCACTGTCTCTGGACTTGGGTTCCTTGGATTCCCTTAAATCAGCTGGATTTAATGGGGAGGTGATGGGAATACAACCTTTCCAAACAGTGGCTCTAATGAGTGTGCTGATGTGTCCATTGTCCCCTGTCCTTTCTTTCCTCCCTCCCACATGCCTATGCCTGATAAGAATATTCAGATTGAAACAGCATCACCATCACCCTATAGGTTTGTTACCCAATGCACGCAGCATTCTGCATTCTGCATTCAACTTCTGCCAAGCAGCAGATTAGCCTTAATGCACTTTAACACACTTAATCTCTGAATAAACGTCCTCATCCTTACAGGTCCTTCCTAAAGCAAGTATCTAAATGCAAAAGAAAACAGCCCACTCCACGTGCATGACCAACCATTAGCACTCCACACCCTTGCAATAAAGCTGATCTTAACCTGAGGCTCCCTTGCTATGTTGCTATTGCTACTGAAAATTGTTCTCAATGCAAGAGTATTTTTACAAATGAGAGTGTTAGTATTGCTGTTGCTGTTCAGTTGAAATAGCACCAGTTTTAATTAGGAACAGAAAGTCCTCCATTTAATTTGGGTTTTTTTTGTGTGTCTGTCTAATTGTACGTAAATACATATGGCGCTTTTTGGGGTGTGGTGTCACCATGGTGTTTTCATATTTTCTTCCACCCTTGAAAACTAACCTCTTCCTACACACAAGTTTCAAAGTCCTGTAACTTGCATTTCCCTATATTTGGCTTCCCCCAATCTATCCATTTTGTTTCAGTTTCAACAGCCGGTTTTGAGAAAAATACCTTTTATTCTTAAAACTGAGGACCCTTCTTCTGTTTTAATTCCAGCCTGCTTGGAAGGAAGTATATCATAGGTAGTATCCAAAGCAAGCTAATTGAATACCTGTGTATTTAAAAAAAAGACTTCAACTTATGAACTGTGGTGAGTTTGTGTTGTATGAACGTAAGAAAGCAATTGTAACAATAACTACTACTGAAAAGGGGTTAAAATGTTGTTTTCCTTTCATATGGTATAGGTGAAGGCCTCAGTGTGACATATTTATGTTTCCAGAACTAAATTTGCTTGTCCAAAGTACCAATTTTTTACTTTTGAATAGCATTTGCTGAAGAGCTACTCCAGAGTGAGCTCATCTCTGGCACTGTGAGTTGACACACCTCCCAGGAATGACAGTCCTCTAGGAAACAAAATATGACAGAATTATAAAATTCCCAGCACTATTATTTTTACAGCAATTGCTTAGTATCCACACAAGTCGTAAGTCTATTTAGAGCTGATGATGTGGGGGGTGATCCAGAGTGAGATCATGCTGAGATAAAGGCAGCTTGATTGCAGCAGCATTCCTGTAGTTAGGTAAGCTATCGAGGGCAATATAGGTTCTATGAGCATTAGTCAAATGGCTTTAGAGAAAAAAGAAAAAAAAAAGATGGGGACAGTCAAAGTAAACCTCATCCTGGTACCCCCAATGTTTAGGATTCTCACAGAAGCATTTATTTACTTGTGAATCCTGGCTCGTGTTACCTCTTAAGAATAAATGAAAACCAAAGGGAGAAAATGCTTTAAACCAAGTGCCCACAGTTGTAAAAAATATTAATACATCCTTTTTTTAATCTTGTCTTAATTTCTTAATTATTGTAATAGTGTGAGTCTTCACCAATCATACATTTTGCACTATAGGAGAGGTCTCATTTAACAAAGGGTGACAAATAACTGGTAACAAAAATCCAAGACACTTTGCATGTAGTAGATAGATGGTCACTGGCTGCAGAAGCACCAGCATTTGTCCCATGAAGCTTTACCTTACAAAGATGGTGAGTGATAGTTTAGAAGATCTTAAGCAAGGGCAAGCATGAATTCAGAGTAGGAATTGTGTGACCACAGTAAGATACTGGAAGCGCAGCTATACAATTTTTATAAATAAGCATTTCTTGTTGCAAAAGGTAATAAAACTTAAACAGTACTGGACAGAGACACCTTTTTTTTTTTTCTTATTTTTCTTTGAGCCCATCATCTGCTTGTTTGTATTTGGTAGTTTTATGCACTCCCATTTCCACCCCTTCTCCCTTTGCTGCACCTTGAACAGTTGCTGTTGGCTGTCCTATATTTCATTTTTTTTCCTTCTGCTTTCTTACCCTCTGTTTTTTCCCCCTTTCCCCCTTTTTTTTTTAGCTCATCATGTTTCTTGTCCTCCTTATTGGCTTCTTCCTTGATAATCAGAAAAACATGCTTTCTTTCATAGGAGCACCTATCAGTGGTTTAATGCTAGACTGTGTAAGTTTAGTGTCAGCATTTCATGGAAAATGTTAGCAATACTATGAAAAGAGCTTGCCAGCTCTGACATGAATGCATCTTACTGTAGTTTATAGTAGCTGTTGTTACAAAAGTGGAGAGAGCGAAGGCAGATGCCTTTCAAATAGCTTCAACTCTTTATATTTTAATGCATTGATTGTGCAAGAAGCATATGCAGAATTACTTAGTCCTTCTGTTTGTAATATTGCTTTCCTGTATTGCTACACTGCCTTTCTTTTTGCTGGGTTCTCTGCACTGTGGGAAATGTTTATACAATCCATAAATAGACTGCCAGGGGATAAAAGCAGATCACAGGCAGATGGCATTATCCCGCAGTAAGAAAGGGTAACAGCAGCTGGAATAAGCTCCAAACCTAGGAAATGTTTTGTGAGACACAACTGGGAACTCTTTAGGAAAAGCACAGAAAGGAGCGGAAATGAGTCAACACTTTTTAACCACAGAACACAGAATTTTGCAACCAGAAAGATACCTTGGATAGCAAAATTCCATTTTGCTACAGCACTCTTCTCCCCCATCAGCCTCTACTTGCCTTCCTTTGCCTCCCAGGTTGGGGAATGTGGGAAGGGAAAGTAAACGGCCAAGGACCAGGCTCTGATGGGGTGAAGTTTGGACAGGAGCCAGCACGGTTGGACTTTCTCCTGGTTCTGAGAGCGACTGGGGGAGGGCAGGACGCTGTCTGCTGGTGCTTTTCCTGCTGGGATGAAGCTGCCTTTGTGTCCGCTCCCCCAGAATAGTACCTACATCTCTCTCTTGGCCTAACAATCCATTAGAAAGCTGCATGGGCAGCAATGAGCATTTCAAACTGGAACAGCCAGGCGGCCTGAGTGAGCCTTCTGTGCCGTGCAGGCAGCTGTCTCTCACCTCTGCCTTTGCCTAGGCCAGCCCCAGAAAGGGGTTCTTTCTCTTGGAATTTTTGGAACTGTTGGGTTTTTGTGTTTTGTTTGGTTTTTTTAAAATTTTTTTTTTAGTATGCTATAGAGGTAACAGCAAAAGCACATGGAAAAAGCCTCTCTCCCCCACTATCCTTGCTTTTTCCACTACACTGAATGCCAAGATCTCTTTATTGGGATCACTGGATTGGACAGGCCTTCACTGATGACGGTTATAGCAAATTATGCATGGCAATGGCATTCCCCTGGGAACTTCCCTCTGCAAGTTTTGCTCAGCCCTCAGGGCACTGAGGGTAGCACACATAACATAAAAGAATCTTCTCTCTTCTTCCTAGTTTATGTTATGCATTTCACAGCATCTTGGATGTAATTCACCAATGAACACAAGAATTCCTTCATAAGCAGCAGCATGAAAAATTACACGTGCTTTTTCTAAGAGACTTTAAAAAAAAGAGAACAAAATTATTTGAAAGACATTCTCAGAATTTTTTTTTTCCAAATAATCATTTCAAGTGTCCTTTTAGAGTAGTTTCAAATGGGAGTTAAGGATTTTAAAGGAGCTCCTCCATGCAGATTAAAAAAACCAAACCAAACCAACAAACCCTGCAGAGTATTGTAATAGAAGGATTTATACTATGAAAGATTGATTTGTCACAGATCATAGTAATGTACTAAATAAAGTCCTTCAGCAGTCTGGTTCCACAATCTGGCACTTGCTTTGCTCACTTCACGTACCTCTGATTTGTCCTCCTAATGAACAGCTTGGAAAGGACACTTCAGAAGACCTCTGTACACTGATGCTTACCCCGAAACAGCCACGCAGTACTATTTTAAAAGAAAGAGAACCATATGCCAGAAGTAATGAATGCCAAAGCCATTTGCTTCTGTTCAAGTAAAAAAGTTAATAAATGAAATCTTTTCATCCATAAACTGGAAAAACACATCATAAACCATGTTAACGCTATGAGAGATCTTACACTGATGCCGATTGACACAAATACTAAAATACATTACAGCACAATATCGTGTTATCTTCTCAGTAGAAATGCAGCCCTTTAGCAAGCAGAAGAGCTAAATTTTGAGAGAGGACCAAATCCAGGCAATTCATCAGGACAACATGGGGCCTGTTATCACGGGAATCACTCGCTTCAGTCCACTGTGTTGATTTGTGCCTTCTGGGCACCACAGGCCAGAGGTGCAAATGCAGTTTTCTTTATAGACTGGCTTGCAGATTTATCATATCTGCATAGTTGTCAGAGGTTTGTCCAGTTACCACTGGTTCATTTAAGTGACTGGTGACGTGTTGTGGGAGAAGGGCTGTATTTTATGAAACCGATTTATTTTGTTTGAATTTTAAGGGAAAGCATACTGCATTGTGGTTTTTGTTACTCATAGTTAACTTGGGCAACCACTTGCCTATATGATAAGGACAGCTAAATTAAGAGGCTAGCTCCTGGTCTGTTCTTCTAAGAACTTTCAGCCTGATGAGATACAAAGAATGAAAAAACTTTCAAGAAGGTATCAGTAAGTAAAGTCTTCCTGTGTACAGCTCAAGTAGGAAAGTTGATATTTTCCTGCTAAGGTTTTAGAATATTGGAAAACTGTTTAAGAAGGAGAAAATCTTAATTAACGTGCGACAAGGTAAGTTTTACTTGTCTGTTCGGCAACAAAAAGCTGCAATAGCTGTGTCTGTAGAGCATGAGCTAAGAGGTGCTTCCTTTGCAGGGTAGAGTTCTAAGTTTCCACAGTGTGCTCTTCACAGTGATACCAGGGCAGCAAGATAGTCCCTTTCTTTCAAATTTATAACGTCATTTCCACATACATATATAATTCACACATCAACCACGTTTCAGAATAATGATTCTTATTTGAGTCCTTGGAGCCAGGGGTAGCACATCTACAAATAAAACATCATTGCTCACCCCACTAAGAATAGCATTTAGAGATTCTTAACAGAGTTCCATCCATCTACCGAACACATTCCATGGAGCCAAAAAGTAAATATTTGAAAGACTGTTAGATTTTTTAAGTCCACAGACATTTGAGTACACTGAGATTTGATTACATTGCAAACAACTGCTACCACCACCACAACAAAAAAGTATCATTTCAGAACAGGGTCTTGTCACAGGGTATAGATATGAAGTATTTTATTGCCACTTCTTATGCTCCCTGATCACATAAAAGTAATTTAATTGTGAAATGTCAGGTTTATTATTAATTGTTCAGTAGTGTTTCTCACAAGTAAATTTTGTGCCCTGCCTCTGTGATTTTCTAACAGCTTTGCAGAACAAAATTATGTAGCAAGAAATGACATTCTGTATTCTCTTAACAATGCATTTAACTTACGCAAAGGAGAGCTGTTACTCTCTTTTTCCTATTATATCATCAATCATTGAAGAACAAGAATTAAGGAATAGGAAAACTGTCATCTTTTAGAAATAACAAGAAGTCTTAATCGTAATCAGTATTTTCTTCCAATTCAATTTCTTTTCCTCTATGTTCTACTACAGTCATTGCTGGTTTTTTTCTAAGGTGCCATAAATCAGTTACCCCTCCTTTTTCTTGAGAAGCTATAAATAAGTTACTTTAAAATTACCTGAAGTATTTTAAATGTTCCACTCACAGCAGTCTTGTGAAGCAGGCCAGTGTTCTTACTTTACAGATAAAGGCACCTTAGCTCTCTTGGCTCTGGATCATGACATTCTTCATAAATGTAACTGTTCTATCATTTTTAGACTTTGAAAAACTGAAAACAAAGAAGTGGGTTTTCCTAGGTCACTCTTTGGCACATTCGACCAAGACCCAGAAATGCAGCCCTGATCCCCTCACTTACAGACATTACAGGCATCAGACCACACAATTCCTTCTGGCTCTCCCATCCTGAGGACATTGTCTCCATTCTTTGCTCTAAAGGTGACAGCTCGAATCCCAGCAACATTGATCATTCACTCCCCTTTCACTGGCCAAGTCAGGGAAAACTGGAAACCTCAACAGTGGAAAACATAACTACTTTCTTCCGGAGAGAGAGCATGCTAATTAGCCAGCACTCTCAGGACAAGACCAATAGGCCATAGCTCAGGTAAACATAAACATAAATACACATATAGACACCTAACGGCCTATAAACTGCTCATATATAGCATTATGAACTGAAAAGTTCATATAATCCTGGCTGGAGGCAGAGCCCCTCTAGTGCTGGTCATAGTATTCATTACTCACTTGTAGATACGAAGCAGAAGTCCCTTTATTAAGATCAGAAGTAGGATCAGCTCTTCTACTCTTGTCGGGGAAACTGCCCACTGGAAACTGTAGCAGCAATTTTCCTGGAAGAACCCCCATTTGTGATTGTTTTTCCTTGCAACTCACATACCCATGCCTCTAGGGTCGAGGTAGGTTTTCCATCCCATTTCCTCATGTCCTCTCCGTGGTCACGCAGGTAAAACCACAGGGTGGCCCGCGGTGTGAACCCCCTATATCCTCCCTTGCAAAAGTCCTTGACTAGTAGAAGCACTACTTAGCAACAACTAAAACATGGTGTGTTACCAATATTATTCTCATATTCAATCCAAAACACAGCACTATGCCTGCTACTAGGAAGAAAATTAACTCTATCCCAGCCAAAACCAGGACAATACTGTATTAATTTATAAAGTATAACTGTGTTATATAACATTATTATACAGTATACTGTATATGTATAATACAATAAAAGTATATAATACATATTGTATTATACAGTATACTGTATATGTATAATACAATAAAAGTATATAATACATATCGTTATACATTTACTATTTAATACAGCTCTGTAGCAATGCAGGTGCGGCTTCAGATCTTACCACCTAATGGTTGGGCTGTATGGAATTCCAGCATCACAAAACGATATGTTGTGCCTTGACAGTTTTTAAGTCAAAGAAGTTTGAATATTTACATTGTACTTCAGGAGCTCTGACAGTTTTTAATTTCTACTATGTAAGTTCTGAGCTCAGATGATTTCAGTGTCCAGGTTTTATAAATCAGAACTGCGGTCAGCGCCACCAGCCATGTTCTCATTGGGGAGAGGAAGAAAGCCAAGGTCCCATACGTTCGCTGCAGGAAATAGCAGGAATAGACCTGCCAGGCCAGGAGGAGTGCCATTGCCAGGTGTACAAGCACAGCCACGAGGCATCGGACGTGACGGATGTGAGAATGGAAGCTGTGACCCTGGCATCGCAGCAACAGGCACCAGCACAGATAGGCCATTAACGGCAGGTTGAAAAACAACATCTGAAAAGAGCAGAGAAAAATAACATGATGAGCAAGCCAAGTGTTCCGGGTAACGTACACAAGGGCATAGAAAGATGAAAGCACATAAAACTGTCCCATTCTAAGGGCTGAGTACAATTCCCAGAGCTGGAACCTCAGGATGCACTTCCAAGACTCTGCAGCTGATAGAGCTGTGGCTGCCTGTGCCTCAGTCCCAGGCCAAGCATTCCCACCCACTCCCTTGTGGTGGGAGGCACTGACATGCATCTGACCTTCTTTGGAGCTGGTTCAGGGAGCTAGACTTGGCAAAATACTAGCACAGTAAAAAAGGACGGTCCTTATGCCAGTTTAGCGCTCTGACCCAGCCCACTGTGGTGTCGAGACAAATGTTAGCACTGGCAAAAGGGAGAGACAGTGAAGGAGGCAACACTAGCTTGGTCTGCCTTAAATGCCGAGGAACTACACCCTCTCTTTCAGACTAATGGCAGCTTGGAAAACCAGAGGGCGGGCAGGTCAGACTGCTGGGAAAACTGGAGTCATGGGTACTCAGAGAGTGACACCTACTGATCTGCAGGGTTATTCAGTGTGCAAGGGCTGCCCTGGCCGTTCAGTTAGTTCCTTTTGCTTAATCATTGCAACCTGTGCCTGAGCCGAGGACAAAACAAAAATTTAGAGTGGTAAATCCGTAGAGATGGCCTCGAATCCAGACATCCAGGGAGTCTAAAGCAACACCAAATAGAGGAAAAGAGAAGTTTGAGAAAATAATGCACAGCCTCCTTCCTTTCTGCCCTTTACATGTGCAGAATGGTAAGAAAGAGCTGTTGTAGTCAGGCATGGCCACTAATCTTCTCTATCTTTCCAAGACTCCTTTCTTTATAAAACTATTTAAAAAAAACCCAGAAAAAAATGCCAGAAGAAAGCAGTTTGTCAGTCTTAATTTTTATAAATATGTACCTGTAAAATCCCAACCACAAATGTCAGACCGCCCTGTAAGAAGGAACCACCAACGAACACCCCAAAGGAAAAACAGGCCCCCACGTGGCCATCTATCAGTTCACCTACAAACCATGGTCCTGAAAGAGAGGAAAACAAACATACAGCACCATCAGAAAATACAATATAGACATGGCCCTTTGTACTCCTGAGCACAAAGTGGTTAACTGGGCAAAATGACTTCTCTATTGCTTGTCTATACTAATAAGCCAGGTGTTTTCAGCAAACAGCAATCTGATGAACATTGCTGATGTGAAAATACCATGGTACACCGATGAGTTGTGGCATGCAATGGAAATACTTTTAAGTTGGTTTCATCTCTGTGACAAATTTTCAACACCACAGGTAACATTTTCCAAGATAGATCCTTTCAAATGCTGGCCTTTTCCCAGAATTACAGTAAGACATACAAAAGACATGGTCATAAACAATTCCAGCTTGGCTCAGCTTAGAAGTCAAAATGGGCAGTCTGCACTATGTTACACATACTACACTGACTGCCAAGAAAGTAGCTATTTTAGTAACATATTATCAGACGAGAAATAAGCTAAAATTACTAGCATCAGAGCCGAGATGTCTTCGTGACTTGTCATGTGAAATGTACATTCCATCTACTCATTTTACACCAAGGTACCACCAGATCTTACTCAAAGAGTAAGCGAAAACCAAATTAAATTTTAACACACTCACTTTGCTTTCAAAGTAATTTAAGTGTTTAATGAATTCTAGGGCTTCTAAGTTAGGCTCTTACAAACAAACTTTTAGTCTCTTTGGACATTAACTTTTCAAGTTCCCCATAGAGTTTGTAACAAGTAGATTTTCCCCTTTCTCCAAGATGTTAGAAGTCTCATTTTTCATCAGGATCTGACATGTAATTTAAAAATACTAACTTATGTCAATCCAGTACTCTAGGTTACTTACCCAGAATGGTATATAAATTCAGAACCAGAATTGAGTAATAGAAGGTGTTTGTTTTACTGAAGACATGAAGGGAATACGAGGTCAGAGTAAGTAATCCTGGCTTTTCTAAACAGAGACAACATTTAAGAAAGATACACTTGATTCAGGTTGCAACACACACACACACACACACACACATATATAGGCCTTTCTGAATCAGATCGGCACATTATTTACTAATTCTATTAAATAGGAAATATAAAAATAATATTTGGTATGTCTACAGAACAAACACAAGGGAATGCATTTCTACTATTACTGTGACAACCAAAAATAAGGAACTGATAAATATAACAATCTATGTTAAAAACAACAGAAGAAGCTGCCATTCTAAATGAGTACACTTACTGTATATAAATAAAACTGAATGACCTCTCTATAGCCAGAAAATTAAGTTAGCTAGAATGAAAAACATGGAGAAAGTTCTTATTAAATGAAAAGTAAGAGGTTCAAAACAGTAACTGTGCAAACCCAAAAAGGCAGGTCAGCATGGACTAGATTAACTGGATTTTCTTTGATTAAATCTACTTAGTAAGATCTGATAGCAACTCAGATAAAATGAAGGCTAGGCGTTAAAATGGCAGCATTCCGACAAGCGTGTGATGTTAGCAAAAAAAAAAAAGCAGTATTCATTTTCTAACTGAAGCAGAAAATTGAGATCAAGAGCACCTTCCTATAAAAGCTAGCCTTTAGAATTTAACCTCTTATGTGGCTGCCCTTCTCACAAAGCATTAACTCCCAGAGGGCAAGCTTGACCTTTGGAAATCAACAGCTCTAATAAATTTGTTCACGAATTTGTAAAACATTTGTCATGGTCTACAGGGATCTAGCTGATCACAGAGTGCTAGCTCTTTTCATTTTTAGCTGCTGAGTTCCATAAAGGCAACTGAAAATCTATTCTTTTTCTATGTAAGCAGTTGCTGTAGTTACTTCAGGATGCTACATGATCATGAGTATAAAGGAAGGGAGGTGGCTTCCAGAAAAATATCATTAGTAAGGTGTGGTTCAAGCAATTGTTTAAAGAATAAACACCATGGGCTTAACAGTATTAATTTTTATTTACCAGATTTATCACAAACAAAATATCAAGTTATGACAGAACTGGTCTTAAATATTACTTATTTTGAGAAAGACCCAAGCCTGTTCATGTTCTTTGCAAAGATTAACAAAAATTGGTTTTGTAGAAGGAAATCTATTTCTCCATTCAGGTGACAGAGAATTCTGTGCCAGCTGTAGTGAAACAAGCATGCATACAGAACTAATACAAAATAAAACAGTCCTTTCCCTATGCATTGGATTCTTCAGTGAGAAAATTAAAATGACACCTTTAGACTTCAATTAATTGAATTTTTGTTTAAACAAAGATACCTGATCAAGTTTTTAGGTTTTAATTGACTTTATTTGTTATTCTGGCATTTTTCTGGGTTCCCTTAAAAACAAAACAGCAGCTTCTGAGAATCCAATCAAATCCCATAGTACTAGATGCAAAATGCATATAGTAATTAACAGCACAATTACTTACATATTGTTAGCACACAGATAAGTAGTAAAAAAAGTTTAGGGAAAATTAGATCCTCTAAAAACCACAGAGAAACATTGGTTCATACCTTTGAGTGCTGGCTTTTGGAGGTATCTGAAAATAATGAGTAAGGCGATCTGAATCAGCACAATCAGTCCAAAGAGCACACGAACCTGAAAAGACAGTTTTAACTCTAAGCCAGCCCTGGAGTAGTAGCTACCTTTGAGCATGCCTTATGGACATTGATGGAATGATACAAAATTTCTAACCAAAACACATATTCAAAACTTGATGATGTAATCGAACTGATGAGTAAAAAGAAACTTAAAAGTTTCTGTTATTGGACTTGAATCTTACTGATTTGAATTCAGTTGGATGTCTGAAAGCGGGATGCCTGAATCTTTCAAAAACGGGGTTTGTAAAACACATCCACTGAAAGAAGTGTAAATACACTTCCTATGTAAAACGTTTTCCGAGTGCTGTACTGAGTAGAACTGCAGTTCAAAACATTGTGGAGAATATCAGTTACTGATTAACAAAACTAATATAATAATTTTGAGCCAACTATGATACTTTCTACAGTCATGTGGACTTTCCTATATTGGTCTGTAAGTGCACTTAAACTATTATGACACAACTTCTTTGCATGTACTGAGCTGTAACAGTTCTGGGTATGACCTGGAACTTACTGAAGTCAACAGGAATTTTGCCTTCCCCTTTGCTAGAGCTAGCTATAATGTCAGCAGCTGATGTGAGACTTTTTCCAGCATTCTTGCCAGCACACGTATTGCAACAGATCACAGTGAAGTTTTCTTTGATAAAATGTTTCCTTTTTCTACTATCTCCAGCATCTTCTTCTCCATTTCTTGCTTGCACAAAATGTTTGTATACCTATGCCCAAAAATGGACAGTTGTGACTAAATCCAGGAAGTCAACTGTTTGCATGAACCATTGCTGCACATTCACATTTGAAGTGTGCAACTTGAGAAAGAAAAATTGAAATATTTGTGAAATTCCAGTGGAGTCATATCTAGAAAAAGCAAAGTACATTCAAGTCTACCAGGAATTAGGAAAATGTCTCCTGCAGTCTCTGGGGAAACCACCACGGAATGACAGCTGTTTTGCTGAAAGTACTTACTACAACATAGTAGTCAATGAGAAGAATAACAGATGGCCAAAAGCCAAATCTAAGAGAGAGATTTTCTTCCATGGCAAATACATGACCCCGTGTGCTAATTCGTCCTGAAGCATCCTAGATTGATATAAAAAAAGAGAGTAATTAGATACCAGTAGTGCACAAAATATTTAGTTAAGGTTGCTAATTATCATTGCAGCTTTTCTGGAAAGATCCAATTGACGCATGCATGTCTGGCATACTGCTGTATTAAATACTTCTACCTACAAAGGATTACTTACTGTCAATTTTATAGTTTCAAGTAAATTGATGACTGTAAGATCACAATCTGAAAGTGTTGCATACGAAGGAGATCCTGTCAGGCATTCAGCAACTTGTGGAACACAATGACTACTTATTGGCCACCACCACTTGTCTTCTGAAAGCTCAATTCTAGATAATAGCCCATCTTAAAATATTTTGAAGCTTTGTTGTGCTTCTTTTCTGGCGTATTTGCTAGAAAACTGATATTGATAAACAATAACAGTGCTACATTTATTCAACAGTTTGATATTTCTGCATGTGTAACACTGACACCTGATCTTCCATTACATAATTTATTATGGTTTATTTATAGTAAAGGATTCAGTATGTTTAGCGTGATTACAGCTGAGACAATATTTGGACAATCCCAGAAACAATGTACAGCAATTGAGTATTCATAATTTATCCAGGTACCTAACTCAAGTTAACACTTCATCCTCCTTGCTTTCTCAAAACTATTCAATTAACTAGATGTAATAGTGATTTATGACTGGAGGGGAAAGGAAACTAATTTTTTTAAAAATGCCATTCAGTTATCTGGTAACAAGCATGTATTTGCAAGCAAACCATTGCTATGCAGGCCTGTATAGCCCTCTTCAAATGTTACTCAGTATTGTGCATATGTTTTCACTATCATTAAAAAAAACCCAAAAACTAAACCACTTATAAAATGCAGCTTTCTCATGTAAAGCATCACAGAAATAGGTAACAAGTGAGGAGGCAGAACACTGGCAGTACAGAAAGGTCATTAGAAAAAAAGGCAGTATCGCTCTTGTCCTGTGAGAAATAATGCCTAGCTGGATTCCATCAAGCAGGACAAAGCTGACTTTCCCATTACTATTGTGCAAATGTGCAGAATGTTAGAACAGTCTGATCGAGTTCTTTGAAGGCCACTTGAAGGTACGAAAATAAAATATAGTACCAAGAACAAAAGCATTCTTTTTTTCACCTAGTGATCTAATATCGGTTAAGTCTGATGTTCTGGGAAACAGAAACCGTATTCACTGTCAGCCTGTGAGAGATCATGAAAAGAACTTCAAACAGATAACCAGAGACAGTATTCCAATCTTCCAGATCCAGTTCTTTTGCCTTCTGAACTAACATGATGCTACTTGCTATTTTCCTTGATCAAGCTCGATTTTTTTTTTTTCAAGACAACCAACCTTAAAAGGTAATTGTTGCCTGTTTTTCAAAATAATTTTTTTTGACCAATTACTTGCTCTGCTGTCATGTCTTATTATAGTTCTTATGAAAAATAAGAATCCTTTCTTTTGTCCAGATGCTTTATGAATGTTTTAATGCTCAGCAGTCAGTGTTTTTCCAGGTAATAAATCCTTTGTTTTTTGTAATCAGACAAATATGAAAAGAAGTCTATTATCATGTATTTTGTCCCTAGTTATGTGATGCACAAGGGTGATGGAGCAGACATAACAACATAAAAATTCAACACAAAGAATGCCAGCAGGTACCTTACCTGGACAGCCACATCTATGTGATGGAACCCTTCACTGTAGTTTTGCGGGCTCCACTTCAGTACATAGAGAGGGCCAGACACCTGATGCGCATTCCCCAAGTGAACTCCGTCTATATAGACTTTGACGGAGATAATGACAGAAGGAGAGAAGGCCAGAATTCTAAGGAGTGAATAAACAGCAAAATAAAGAGATTTGTTACAGGACTTGCAGATTTGTCATTACTTCCTGAAGAGAAGTCCCTAATGATTATGCTACCTTGTACCTAAGAGTTCAGAAGAGTTAGAAATTGAAATGGTGAAATATCTGTAGGCTAATGGTGACATGGTAGCTCTTTCCTACAGCTAAAAAGAGAAGTTCTGTATGGTATTGTGCAAAAGAATAGGATAGAAAACTGGGCTGTGCAACAGATGAAAAAGTGGCAGAGATCCTCAGGTCCTGGCAGAAATAATCTTAGAACTCTTGCTGTCAAAACATTTGTTAACACAAGTGGGATGCATCCTCTTGCACACATACAGACACATAATCAAATACTTGTAGATGTCTTCATTAAAAATTGCCAGTCTCTCTCTCTAAAGTCCTTTGTTGTTGGTTGTGGGTGGTGTTGGTTTTGTTTT